GTGTTGAATCTTCACTTCATCACAGTCTCTCATCCTGAGCGAGCACAAAGGAGACAGTGGAAAGAAATAACTCCCTTTTAACAGGAAGAAACGTCCAGCAGAACCAGCTCAGGACGAGCGTCCATCTGCTTCAACCAGCTGGGTTTGAGAGGACATGAAGGAGGAACACACAAACACATGTCCAGGTGAAGAGTTTGTAAAAAAAAAAGATAAAAACCTCAAAGAGAACTTTAAAGCAGCACCAACAGCTCCATGGAGAATCCTCTGCTCTGCAATCAAGTGGAGCTTCTTATCTTCAGAGCTGGACTGAGCGCCCGTCATCGTGCCGCGCGCTCTAAACCTCTGCAGCCACAACGCTGCTTGAATGATTGAGATCTAAATGGAAACGAACGCGTACCTTTCAGCTCGCGCCTTTAAAGAGTCCTTGAGGAGCTTGATCTAAATGAGGTACAGCTTCTAAGAGTCGTACAGCGTTTTAAAGAAGTGAATGTGAAACACTTGTAAAGAAATAGCACTTAAAAAAAAAAAAAACAGTCTTGAACCACTACGATTAGATCAATGCTTGTGTCGTTCAACAATCTGCGTGGAGTAAATGCTTTGGGAACAAAATAAGTGCCAAAAAATACTAAAAAATATTTACTATTAGCAAATATACAACAAAACAAACAAAAATATTCACTTTTTATTACAAGATGATATATGCTCTGAAGTCTCCTTAAATTAAAAAAGAGTTACTGGTTCATGTTTGCAAACCTGTCACATGTGATCTTATTGTTTCTGACTGTTAGTTTCTTCTTGTGAGTAACCACATTTACCAAGAATTGACGTGTTTAATAAGAGTGTGCACGGTGCACACACTTACTGTATGAGTGGTGATACTTGGTGTATGAGTGGAGGAAGAAGGGTGACACTTTTTCCTCACTTTACTACCGTACTTGAACATCAGTCTGTAGTGAGTAGATGGGTATGAATGAATACAGAAGCACGAGATAATCAACAGCATGAGATCAGCAGCATGAATAATCAGCAGCACAGATAAGTCGCATATCACCAATTAAAGAGCCATTACAATTATCCTGTTTTTGTTGCCAGAGTGAGGGAGAAGTTAAGAGATATCAGTCAGCACCTCGCAGAGCTGATGGCACAGTTTCTCAGCACCCTCCCCGAGATGTTGTCTGGGTGAAGTATGATGTAACGAAGGAATAATGAGAAACTTGATTATGAAATGTAACATTACAGATGCAGGATTATATTTCCATAAGACTCATTTTGCAAAGTTTACATGATTACACCAAGTTTTTGAAGGCAGTCCCAAGTTAATTTGGTTATTCTGATTCTTTACCACATATATGAAGTTCTATAGAATATAATAAACAAAAGCCTCTTGGTTGTCTGTCTTTGTTTGTAGTGAATTTAAAACTCCTGAGTCTTCAGTCCAAAATTTAACTTAAGTTTGTTCAAGTACAAGAAATCGCTCAGATGTGAATCCGATGAATCTGTGATTAAAGCAACTGATTGATTTCTTATTGCACCATATTTAACCTGTTCTAAACCTTAAGCTTTACATATATACTTCATGCTATATTTAATTAAATGTCTCCTTTATTTCTAGTATCTCATTTTATTTGTTCATTTTTTTCAGTTTGTATTGTTACACCCATGCTTCGTTAACTCTGTGGTAATGTGTTTGTTTGTTTGTCTGTTTGTTTGTTCAGGTCCAATCTGATGGGAACCAAGTTTACTGTTTATGACAACGGTCTGAATCCCATGAAGAGCACCTCGAGCCTTGAAGCTAGCAATCTGCGTCAAGAGCTCGCTGCCATTTGCTACGTGAGTTAAAGGTTGAACGTTTTTCTAAGGTTTCTAATGCAGCCAGGACATGAGGTGCAAACACGTGGTTATTTTTCTAAATTAAATATCTTGTAGTCCAGTGCATATAAAATAGTTATTTCAATAAAAATGTTTTAATAAGTCCAACTCCATCATCCGTGGCCTGGGATCGGTCGTCGGCCTGTGGTTTATACTATTAAATTTATTGTCGTTACGTTGAAAAATAATAAAAAATGGAGAAGTTTAATAATGAGGGAGAAGCCATCCACAAATGAAGCCAATGATTAATTTCAATTTCACTTAGAGATTTAAACAACAAAGTGAAATCCTAATTAAAATCAATTTATAATCTAAAACTTGACTCTGATTAAAAACTATATTGAAAAATAAGGTGTTTTTTTTGTGTGTGTTTTATTTTTATTATTAATGAACTGGATGGGTTCTTGACGAGATGAACCTCTCATGTCTCCATCATCCAACATCTTTGTCTTCAAACTAGGAAACCAATGTCTTGGGGTTCAAGGGGCCTCGTAAAATGAGCGTCATTATTCCTGGAATGAACATGGATCATGAGAGAGTGTCGATTCGACCGCGGAACGTAGGTGTTACGTCTCCTCCTGTAGCCACGATGGTTTACGAACCAGCTGAGCTCACTGCTGTAAAAGTATAATTGATCAGATGACGGCGATGTCCATGTCTGAAGCCGATTGATTGTTCGTCATTGCAGGAGCATGAGTCACTACTGGCCAGGTGGCAGAACAAGAGCACAGAGAGTGTGATTGAACTTCACAACAAGACGCCCGTGTGGAACGATGACACACAATCCTACGTGCTTAACTTCCACGGCAGAGTCACTCAGGCGTCAGTAAAGAATTTTCAAATCATTCATGACAACGACCGTAAGTTTCATGTGGTTTTTTTAACTCCATTAATTTTAGGGTGCTAAAATGTAAAACATAAATAAAAAAAAGGTTTGTAAGCTCAATCATCGAGGTAAATAAATCACAACAAAGGTTAAATCAGGTCATCTGGACAGTTTATTTTTGGGAGAAAAGTTTCATCTTTCATCCAAAAGACTTCGTCAGTCTGGTGCCAACAGGATCTGTCGTATTAAGTAGCACCTTGTTGACGTGTTTCAAACCAGTCTGTTGTGGAGTTCCCAGAAACTGGCTTTATACTTGCAAACTGGAGGACCATCAGTCTAAAACAACTGACCATTAGTGCATAACAATCAAATGTTCCAGGCAAAATGGCCGCTTACTACGCACTGAACCAGCCTGAGGAAAAACTGGCCAAAATGGTTAAAATACCAATGTCTTGAGGTTATTTACCTGGATGACTGAGTTTAGGAATCGTTTTTGTTTGTTTGTTTTTGGCCAGTTTGCCCTCGGTCTGGTCATCTGGTGAAGTCTTTCAGATGAAAAACGAAATGTTTCTTCCAAAAAGAGACTGTGCAGATGACTAAAATCTTAAAGTTCAGCTGGAGAGGCAATGTACTCTTACTTTATACGGTAATGCAGGCAAAAAAAAAAGCACATTACTCTTTTGTCTGATATCTAATGGTCAGTATGGAACCAGACGACTTTATACAACATTAACTGCAGTCACTCCAGTGTGCACTTTAATGCACATTAAAGAGAAAGTGCACAAAAATCACCTTTTGATTCAGGATGAAGGCAAAACCATGCAAGAGTGGTCTATTCAGCGTGGTGTACTAAAGTCAAAGTTGAACAAAGTCAGCCAGTATTTGCCCTGATTGGCTTGAAATAACTTTGTCTTGAAAATTATACGTATTATTATTAAACCTTAATTTTACCAGGAAGAAATCCAGTGAGATTATTAATCTCTTTTACAAGGAGGTCCTGGGATCATCGGTGTGGGGTCACCAAACATGAACTTTTTCCATTCATTTTGATTTTCTTTCTGCAGCTGACTACATTGTGATGCAGTTTGGCCGTGTGGCAGAGGACGTCTTCACCATGGACTATAACTATCCAATGTGTGCCCTGCAGGCCTTCGCCATCGCCCTCTCCAGCTTTGACAGCAAGTTAGCCTGCGAATAGACCCAGACCTGACGGTCAGAGAGGACCTGGTCCGTTTTAAGCGCTGTCAGTGTGTCTCTCGGGCTGGTTTGGGGAGCTCTAAAAACTCCTCTAATTTCTTGGAAGTCCTGCGCAATCCAAAATGCTTCGTGGGCCTCAAGTTCTATGTTTAAGTGTGTGCCTGGGGGGGGGGGGGGGGGTATAGGGTTTTGGTTAGTGGAAGAAAACAAGCACAACAGTTAATGTACTTGCAAAATCAAATGAAACTGTCTTGATACCTATTGTCATTTTGTACTGTAACTGAATTATAAAAAGTCATCACTGTTTCTTTATGTAGTAAATATATACATTTAACTTTTGCTTATCTGTAAATTGTAACTAACAGTCACACAAGTTTTAACAGCTCACTGGATTCCCTCTGACATGATGACACACTTTAGCAAGCATGAATATGTCTTATGTAGTTGATAAATCAAAAATATTTTCCTCACCAGTGTTTTGTTTTCTTATTTTAATATTTATGACATGACGATTTAAAAAAAATATATCATTTGTTACGTCTTTAACCATGCTGGCTCTGTGGTGCTTCGTGAATGAGCATTGCAGGAAAATCACTCGCTTCCATAACGATCAATTAGAGACTGAGTCCTGAAAAAGATGAAAGCATGTAACTTAAAATAACATGTTTTTATATGTGAATGTGAAGGAAGATGATGCACTATACTGTGAAATTATAATGAAAAATAGATACTTTTAACATTCTTTCTTGTGCCTTTTTAAGAATAAATCCAGTGTTAAAGTTTAGCCACAAACTGAGCTGAATTTGAACTGGTCTACATTTCCTGCTTTCTGTACATTCACTGGAAATAATTCTCTAAATTCAGCCCGTCTTAAGGCGTATAATTTAGGCTGATTGAATACCTTGGCTGGAAAACATCCTGGATCTATTATTTCTAAATGATATAATTGAAATCCTTTCAACTGCATTTTAAAATTACATTTAATGGCCTACACCAGATGACACTAACAGTGATGTATTATTGATGCTCTTGTGTACATCAGACAACAGACACAGCAGCTATCAGAGACGTCCATCCATGGGGACACCCTGGACAGGTCTCCAGTCCATCACATGGACACATAGAGACAAATGGGACAAACGTTCACTCTCTCTCACCTAGGGACAATTCAGTTACCAATCAGCCTAACATGCATGTTTTTGGTCTGTGGGAGGAAACTGGACAAAAACCCACTCCTGTGTGAGGAGGTAGTTATTACTTTAAAGTTTATTTGCAACCTATCTCAAAATCAATTACTGCCATCAAAGAGTGTGAACCCACTTTTGGTTTGAACACTAATTCCATCATTTTCTTTTCATCTTTGATTATTTTATTCCCCACTGAGGTACAGTTTGAGTCATTCGTCTGAGCAGCAGTAAGTGTTCTCATTTTTACTGTGTTCCTCTTCTTGCTTCTTATGGAGCAAAGTCTTTTTCTCAAATATACAGCAGTAGATTTTATATTTTATGACTGTAAGAAAAAAATGCTGAATGACAGCAAAGAACAATCTCTGATACCACGTATTGTAACTGTGGGTCACGAGAAAAATCTTTAGCAAATGCGCTATTCTTGTACTCGATTGTGTTGTAACTATTTAAAATTTCTATTTCCAAATTGTTGATACTTGCTGTAAAGTCTGCTTTTCTTACATGTGTCTGGAACCAAAGGTTCTTTCACTTTCTGTTTTCCAGTGCTCCCATCATAATGTCCAGTAAACAGTGTGCCGTTTACTATGGTGGTATTGACACAGTCTTTTGTTCATGGAAAAAAATAAATAAACATCCATTAAGACTGACTTTATATAATATTTATCTTGAATTATGTGCTTTTTATTTTTTTATTCGAAAAAGAATGATATTAGAAAAATAAAGCTACACTGCAAATGCAACTGTGCACAAATGACTTCAAGCTAACGGTTAATTTACGATTCTTATCTTTGCATAGGCTTTACCAATTAACTTTTACCAATTAACATGCATGTTTTGGTTTATGGGCTTTTCTCTGGAGTACCCAGAGAAAACCCACACATGCACGGGGAGAACATGCAAATTCCACACAGAAAGCTTTGAATGCAAACCTGTGATCATTTTACTGTGAGGTGACTCCTCTAACCACTGTACCACTACGCCTTTGGGTAATGGGCAACTTTGAAATTGTTTCTAGGTGCGAGTGAGAGTGAGCGGTTGTTTGTCTCTGTGCGACCCTGTGATGATAGGTGGATGGATGGATAGGCTTTAAAGAAAGCTTCTTTTTTTAAAACTACTAATACACAAATATAATCCTCTAAAAACAATAAAACTAAAATCAATTTAACAATATTAATAAGCATAAACATAAAAAACATATAAGATCTAAACAGTGAACCGGTTTTTCCTCTTTGGTAATGTATAGTGGTGTTTGTTTTTATTTCTTGTTTTACCTGAGAAATAGATTTTCTACAATCGGTTACCTTTTTCCACTATTGTCAAATTATTTCAAATATGAGAATATGAACCCAAAATGAAGATTATCAAAAAATGTTTTGTATCTTACTGTTTCACACTCCCTATCAACTGCTCCCCTTGTATCTCTTGCACTAGAACCATTTCACTAACTATTTCTATAACAATGTTTAAAAAACAATAATTAATAATTATATATATATACAAAATCATAATCATAGCTTTCAGAACTTGTTTGTACAGCAGCATCACAGACTTTGAGGCTGAGCTGGTTAGCCCCAAATATTTGCACAATAGAGTGTGTGCAAAAATAACTGGGCAGCTTTTATGGGTAGCCTAAACATGATCACAAAAGACAAAAGCAATTAAGATTAGTTTTGGTTGTTCTAAACACTAGGGCTTCAACAATGACCTTACAATTCTTACCAGCATTTCCCTCTTCAGCCTGTTGTGGACTTTGTGCAGTTATATTAATGATGGCATCATCTGCATACAAATTGAACATCTGTATAACTTTCAGGTGCGTCATTTGCCGCTCAGGCTAACAAGCAACCAGCTGTTCATGATTCACTGTATTAAAAACCTTTTTCTGGTCTGTCCATATTAACATCATCCTAAATGTGGTACTTTTTTTCTTAAAAACAACTGGATTCCAATTAGAGCCCGACTGACATATCAGTAGGGGCTGATAATACAGTGATAATATACTGTATATGTGTCTGGCGACATATCGGTATCAGTGATAATTGGCTCATTATTCACTGATATGAACACTTCTAATATGCACCCCATAAAATGCTGAGAATGAGCCGTGTCCTTACTTGCAATAGGCGTAATTCTACAATGTATCCAACAGAGGGCGCATGAAGACTACTTTCAAGTCATGGTCCTACACAACTTTTAGTACAGCCGAAGCAGGGAACAACTAAATACTGTGTAGCATCAAAAAAGGTTGAATCATGTCATCTGGACTTCGTTTTTTTTTGTTAAAAAGAAACGTTTCGCCCCTC